CCGGCGGGGAGGTGGAGGGCGGCTTCGCGGCCTGGCTGGCGGCGCGGCTGGAGGCGCTGCGCGGTGTCCTGGCCGCCTGCTTGGTGAGGGACGGGCCGGGGGGTTCCTCTCACCGGCGGCCTGGCCGGGCGGGACGAGCCTCCCGGGGCGAGGGGCTGGTTCCAGCGGGTATTGCCGCCAGCGCCGCGCCCCTGGCCCTTCTGTTTCCTCGCCGGGACTTCCCCACGCGCCCAGGAGGTGCCGGGCGGCCGCGGCCTCTCTGGGATCCGGGGGCTCCGTGAGGTTGGCGTGGAGACCCGCGGGGAACGCGCGGGCGCCGCTCCCCCGAATCCCTGGTGTGGATAAGCGCCTTCCCCAGGGGGTCCCCAACATCTCCGAGGACCTTTCTAGGTTCTGTGGGGGTCTTTCTGGGTCCTTCAGGTGTTTGGAGATTTTTGTTTGTAGAGGGGTTTGTGCCAGTTTTGAGACAGATCAGAAACTTTGACAGGCGCTGTGGAGCGTGGCTGCTTGTGTGGGGGAGGAAAGGGGTCACTGTTTGTGCGGAGGACACAGGGTTTAGCCTCTGAGCTGGGTGGCTTTCTGGTAGCACCCAACTGTAGTTTAAGAGATGATTTTTAATGACAGCTCACTAGAGTGGCCCAGCGATTGCTGTGCTAAGTGGTCATCGTTCCTCCAGCAGGTCTCATTCTTTGGAGCACCAGGTTGTCTCCTAGGAGTCAGGCCCTTGGCTCCAGCTGCAGCACAGCTCCCAGCTGGGACAGACACCAGCTATGCTGCTTGTGTGGGCCGAGGCTGGAGCTCTCAGGGGTGGGCAGTGCTTGCCTCTGCCCCCACCAGATTTCTAGGAGAAACTTAGGAGGGTGCAGAAAAGAGTTTCTCTTCAACAGACATCTCCGCTGGGAGTTGTAGGATTTTTACAGTGTCTCAGGGTGTTGCATAGATGAATATTTTCTAGTGTAAAACCTTAAGTAATGAGCGTGTGCTGCTGTTGAATAACAGTCTGCTCAATGGCTGTTGTTGATTGCCTCCCAAAATATTTGTATAGGAGCATAAAACTCAAAGGGACTTAGTCTCTACAGTCAGCTTTTTGTTATCCTAGGTAACTATATCATGTATTTTCTTCTGGGCACCAACTGCATGCCTTTTTTAACGGGTTTTCCTAAGAGATAAGCACCTCTTCACTGCCTTCCACCACCCCTTCCCCACCCTGGGGCACCAGCAGTACTGTAGTTTCTAAAAGAAGCATAACTGTGCCAGTGTAGCTTTGTGCCTAAAATAATAGGAGAAGCAAAGAGCGTGCATCCTGCTGGTGTTAGGGACAGAGCAAAATGTCTTTGGAAAATGCTCTTCTAAAACAGCTGAGGTTGATTAACTTGCCTGTAATTACCAGACTTGCTTCATTTAATTTCCTTATCCGGGCTGGTTGCAGACTCTCAAGCCTGGGCTGGGCCCAGCGTCTCGCTGAGCTCAGTGCGAGCCGCTGGGGTGTGCAGCGTGGTGGCTGCCCTCACCCCACAACGGCCTGGGTTATGTTTTGACATTTCCCCTTTTCTCTTTAGTGCTGAGTGACCCTTCTCTTGCACTGCCACCCATTTTGAGGATCGGTGTGGGGGTTTCATGTTCAGTGAGTTATGGGCTGTCTTTATCCGCTACGGGTTGCACCCCAGCCCTGTTTCTTCTCTCTGTCTTCTTTGTGACACAATCACAGCGAACTTTTGTTTCGGATGCAGTTTTGAGCTCAGTTGGATTTTTCTGCAATTCTTGTAAAACATTTTTGTCTCTTGAACCCTCAAACTTTTAAATTAATTTCTTAAAGTATTTTTTTTAAAATTACATTCTAAGACTTTCTAATTACTTTAGTTGGTGTGTTTTTTTTCCTTTATTTATAGATGCTGTGCTTCAGTATTGACTTTTGAAACAATCTTTTATTATGTTAATTTGGGGCTTTTCTTGCCGAGTCTCTTATCTTTGTTCTATACACAAATTCCAGGTAATTTTTTGTTTGTTTTTGACAACCTTCATAAAAATGAATTTCAGGGAACCTCTGCACTCATGTCCATGGTTCCTCAGTCCTGACAGTGTCCTGCATTAGTTCCTTGGGTTTATCTAACAATTTCAAATCAAGAAACTTAAAACTGAGATCTGTTTCTGTTCAGTTCTTCTCTTTAAACCAGGCAGAATCCAGCTCACTTGTATTTTCCATAGTTAATTTTTCTCTGTGTTTACTAACCTCTAAACCAATGTAATTTCTTGTTTGTTTGGGGAATACTACATGGAAGTATTTGGCAGCTTCCCCCTCAGCTCTCTGAACTCCACCACTATTAGCAGAGTTTGCTCTTACATGTGGGGAGCGAGTCTCCCAGAGGCACGGAAGTCAGCGCTGTGTTGGAGGTCTCCATCCAGAGTGCAGTGAGACAGAAGGGTGCTACAGCAAACGGCCTGTGCTGCATGACAGAACCTCTTTTTGCTTCCTCTTATAACAGTTTAGTTTCACGCAGGCTGCCTCATCATGTTTCTTTTCTGTTGCTTCATTCATGTCCACTCATGCGCTGTCACCTTGGTCTTTCGTTTCTGCCTTTCTCCAGCTTCCTTTCTCCAAGGCTGTTTTTTCATCATTTCTAGGATCACTAAAACATCTCACTTTTGTGTTCTCCCCTCACAGGCCTGCTTCCACTGATACACAAATACCCGATATTGCTCAGACCCTCATTAGAAGGTTGCACAGATCTCTGCATTCATTGTTAGTCTTTTGGCATTAATTTTCCTTTCCCCTTGCTGCCATTCCTTTCTCATCCCTTGCCTGATTTTATTCCTTCTGCACACTGAAACCAGGTTCCAACCTTTTTTCCTGGCTTAATGTAGAGTTGCTCATCATTTTGCCAGCTTTGATTCCAGTAGGCTAGTATTCTCCGCACTCAGGGGGGACATCTGTTAAGGAGGTTCCTTTTACTATGAGTGTTTCTGACACTTAAAAAGCTTTGTGTCTTCTGTGTCCTTGAACCATGCTGATTTTTGTTACCTTGTCATGATTTACTGTGTGTCTGAGGGCTGGAAGGGTCCCTCTGGCACTTGAAATGGTGTTTCTGTGCACATCATCCTTGTTGCTGTTCTGCTCATCTGGCACGTGTTCCTGTGAGGATCTTGGTGTCATCTCCTGGTGGGAGTGGGGACAGCGGGTTCTTCTAGACCTGACCCACCTGTTCTTATACCTGATCTTATCAGATTAGCCATCATCCTGTCCTCTGGATCTGCCCTTGTTAAAGGCATGTTGATGTCTTAAAACAGTTTGATATCGGTGGGAATCACAAACCCTTCATCGTTCTGCTGCCTCTGTTTTCAAATCACCTTAAATATCCCACGTGTTTGTCCTTGTAGCGTCTCCTCCCCAGCCTGGGGACCTTGTTCTGTTGTGTGCACAGCCCTGAACTGGGCTCGTGATCTGAGTGCTCAGCTGCTTTGTGTGATGGCTCTGTCTCAGTTCTTCTGCCATCTGCCTGTTTCATGCAGGATTTTGTGCTTAGCTGTTGTAGGCTCAGGGTGGCAGGACTTTATTCTGAGTTGCTCTTTATTTGTATTGGAGCAAAAGGTGGAGACGTTTTTCTATATGTTTTTATCTCCTCATCTGTCCCACAGTTGTGGAGAACTCAACTTTTTTTGCTGTCCCTCATGCAGGTGAGGTTTGCTCTGCTGGGTGGGTAACATTTTCAGTGACAGTCTGTCCTGAAATTGAAGGCGCTTTTTTTAGGTACCTGGTGTCCCAAGTGTTCAAGATAAGGATTGTGAACTTGGTGTCTTTCTGGTGGGAAGTCTGTACACATGTGCTTATCTTTGAAATGCCAGTTGCTGCGCACCTGGCTGTGAAAGGTGGGGAAAGGGGCAGGCGGTGGAGGTCTGGTTCCCACACACCTATAAAAGCAGTTCTTTTCTAGGCCGAGTTATCTAGTTTTCTGCCTCAGAGCTAGCTTTTGGCATAGGCCGGGTAGGTGATGGTCAGGGCTGGCAGAACAGTTCTAGTGAGAGGTCACCGTTGCGTTGCTGCTGGATTGGTCCCTGCCTGAGCACAGTGCTGCTGCCCGGGGGGAGCGAGGTGACCGCGGGGACCTGCAGGGAGTGCCGGCTCCAGCCTGAGCACGAGCAGCTGCTGTGCACCAAGGGGCAGGGGAAGGGCACGTCTCAATCCCAGTTGGCTCAGTCCTGAGGTGTCCCTGGCCAGCTAGCTTCTGTTTGATATCCACTCTCCTCAAGCCTCTCTGCTGCTGTGTTTTTCTAAGCTGTGGGCAAACCCCATTTAGTGTTAATGAGCAAAATAAATAAATAAATATTGAAACTCCCTGCTTGTTGTACACATATGTCTTTTCAGTGAAGTGCTACTGGCTGTAACTCTTCAAAATGCTTTCCTTTATCAGGATTGTGTTTCTCGCCTGGATTCAGCTTCTGAACTTGCATACTGGGCAGTTTTTGCAGAAATGCAGTGTCTGTGTGTGCTGAGATGTGGTAGGGTAGTGTGTCGCCTGTCTACTTGAGTTATGGTGGTGACCAGTGCCCCGAGAAGCTGTGTTTAGGCTCTGGGGAGAGAGCGGGGCGGGTGAAGCTGCACGAGCGAAGGATCTGGCGATGGGGGTGCCATCCTGGTGGGGTTGGGTGTGTTTCCTTTCTCCCTTCAGTGTAGTCTTCCTCAGTAATGAATAACAATGTAAAGGCTTTCCACTGCCACCCCGAGATCGTGGGTAATGCTCCAGGAGGTCAAGGGAGATGAGAACATCCCTGCTGGTGGGAGGAGATAGTCTGTTGGTACCACCAGAGTGGTTTCAGCTCCATGCTGGCCCTGACCCATGTTTTAACCAGTCTAATTTATTCACTATTTGGAGGTGGCCTTTGAGTAGCTTCTCTGCAGCCTTGCTCAAAGAAGAGAGATGATGCTGGGCAGTAGATTTCTGGAGTGAAGATACCCCAATTGCCTTTCCTCAGGGTTTGTAGGGCTGTTGCACGTGGAGAACCAGCCACTATGAAACCAGTGTGTGGTGTCAAATCTGTGTCATGTGAAAAGTAAACTGCCGCGGTGCTAAGGCATCACCTGGTGTGGTGCAGGGCTGTTGGGTGGCAGCCTCCACACCTTGTGTTTGCCTCACGGGTCCATGCATTCTCTAGTCCTGAGCTGTGTCAACAAGTAAGTGCATCGCATGACTCGTATCATCCTCAGGTTAACAGAAGTCCTGTGTGTCACTGAATGAGTAGATTTCAAGTGAAAAGCTGTATCACTTGAGCTCACTGGTTCAGATTCTTTGCAGCTGATACTTTTCATATCTGATTCATGCCTGTTTAAAACAGACCAACTTTGTTCTAAGACTGAGAAGTCTCTTTTCCCTTACTAGGAAGAAGATCTCTTAAACGATGTTTGCAGGGAAGTAGTCGAGAAGTGGTCTGAATCTCAGATTGTTGACGCCAAAGAGAAAAAAGAAGGTAGTGTTGCTGCTCGGTGTGCCTTTCCTTGTGGTATGAGTAATTTGCAGGGCCTTCTCAAGATAAGGACTGTATGTTTGTCCTGTTAGGAGTTAAAACCAATGCTGCATTAATATGTTTGCAGATCTGACTTGCTTTTCATTGCTATTGCTGCTTATTTACTGTTTTGTCTTGAAATATGAGATGAGGATGAGTAGTTTCACATTTGGCTGTCCCTAGCATTCTGCTGCTCTTTGGGTTCATAATGCTGCAGTGGACAAGCTCTCTTTTTTTTTTCTGTAGGATTTTTTCAGTTTCCTTTCACAAAACACCTAGGGCTTTCTCTCCATTCAGTGATAACAATGTAGTGACGGCAGCTAATGCTGATGGCAGCTGCAGTTATTGTGGTATGGTGTAATATAAAATGCCCATGCTACTTCAGTTTATGCTGGTTTGGAAATACAGCTACAACTGCTCCTATAGAGAGCTGTGCTGTCCCTTCTGCTGCTGCTCACCATGGTACCCGACAGGAAACCATCCTTATTTTCCTTTTCTAAAATCTTCTCTTAAAACTGTCCCTTTTTTCTATAAATGCTTGTGGGGGGAAGCTTTGTGAGGCTGCTGCTGCTGTACTAATGCTGCTCCTTTCCCAGTCGTGTGTAGTCCCACCGTTTTGTTGTTGTTGTACCCTCTCTGAATTCATCCCTCATCTTCAGCTGTCGTCTCGGGCGCCAACACCTCTGTCTTGTTCTTGTTCATCGGGGAGGCTTGTTCTGGTCATTGAGCAGAGCTCTGGAGTACAATGAAGTCATATGCTGGAAAGATTTTGCTGGTTTAAGCATACTGCATGGATAAATTGGTAATCTTCCCACTGCACAGACCTAACCCTAGCCCATGACAATGTAACATCCCTTTTGGCTAAATCCTGCTTTTTGTGTGTTTGACATTTTTTTGTTGGTTCTGGTTGCAAACAGAATATTGTCACTGATGGATGTCATTCTAGAAATAGTTCTCCCAGTGAGCCTTATTGTGAGGCTGCATTTATATAGTGCTTTTCTTGTCTAAATCTCAGCATTTCACCAAGATCACTCACCTCCTCTTCACAGATGAGGCGGCTGAACCACACAGCAGCTCAGTGGCATTCCCTGAAAATTCATTGAAGTCTGTCCTTGGCACAACCTTGCCTTTGGCTGGGGAGAGGAAAAAGTTATGCTATTCTGTGGATTAAATAAAATGAATTCCTCTTTTGGGGACAAGTGATTGGAATTGCTGAAAGCTGCTGCTGGACTCCTCACCATTGGTTACCTGCAGGGATTTTTTTCTTACTTGTCACAGAAAGGAGGTAGCAGTATGTGTCCAGGTCGTTAGAAGTGCAAGGATTTAATTATTTCACTGTGGTTCCATAAAAGGATAAATCCCCAATGAAGCCCATATCTACTTAGAATATCAGAATCCTGAGGATATGTTATTAACAAACTAGAAAAGATTTGGTGTCAAACCCCAAAAGTCACTTTGAGAAACAGGCAGCAGAACTTCAAGTGTTAAAAGGTGAATCAGTTGTTTGTTTCCTTGGGTGGGTAGAAAAGAAAGAATATTAAACTGATCAGTCACTTTGGTTTTCAGAATTTCTGTTGATATGGGTTTTAGTTAAATAAACATATTTGGCTGCTTTTAACCAGAAGAGAGTGCAACTTGGGAGTAAAATGGATTTTCGCTAGCAAGAGTGTTACTGATTTCAAAGTTTCATTGTGAAACTTCCCTTAGTCCAGGAAAAACAGTATATGATGGTGGCTGTGCACAGCACCAGGGGATTCCTCCTGGCGAGGAGAAGCTGGTGTCGTGTCACTGCGTCCACTGGCCTGAGCCGTCCCCAGGGTGGCTCTTCAGTAGCTCCTGCTCTCAAGTCAGGTTGAATTCCCTGAAAGGCTGGCTCGCTGTGTGCTGCCTTGACAGCACCACTAGTGACCTTGGGAGAAGGCTCGTGGGAGGAGGGCGGGGATGGTTTTGGGTGAGACTTCTCCCTTTAGCTCAGCGTGTTGTCCCTGGCGACAGGGGCATGGCCTGTGACGGGGGGATGGAGTCTTTTGGGGACTGCAGATGCAGGCGTGGGGCATCTCTCAGCTGGGGCTTCACTGCCATGTCTGCAGGGCCTGACTGATGCTCTGACTCTTCTCCTGGGCAGATGAGATCCAAGCCATTGCCAGCATGATGGAGAAGCAGGCCAAGATAGTGGTGAAGCCAAAGGAGGTCTCCCAGGAAGAGAAGCAAAGGAAAGCTGCCCTCCTGGCCCAGTATGCCAACGTGACGGATGAGGAGGAATATCCTTTTCCTGACCCAGTTGAGACTTGGTGCTTTGAAGGACAATATTTATTAAAAATCTCCTAAAACAACCCCTTTCCAGCTTTGCAGTGTCTAGGGGGGAGAATTGGGGAAACCTTTCAATCTTCCTTCTCCATGATAGAGTAACTTCCATGGGAAGAAGCATGCAAACTCCTAGTTTGTGGAGTGCCATGAGCAGACACTCCTTTGAGTATGTTTCTCCTCCATTTCCACGCTCCCCACCAACATGTGCTCGGCTGGGTAAGGTTTGCCCAGTCCAGGTGTGTTGCTGTAGTGAATCACCTCCTGGTAACTGCACGGTAATTCGTGCATCATATTTATTGCTTGTTTTCTGATGAGAAACCTGTTGAAAAGATTCTCTTTAGAGAGTACGTGTAGACTGGGAGAGTGTAATGTTATGTCTTCACAGTGCTGAAGAACAGGTTCTTCCTTGAAGTGCAAAGTTGAATGGGAGGGAATTGTCCCTGACACTGGAGCAGCGGGAAGGAGCAGAACATGGGGGTTTGTGCTTGTTTTGTCCTTGATTGTCTGCATTAATTTCTAGCTTCTTCCCCGTGGCTTGATAAAACAGTTATTTGACGTGTTTTAAGTGTGACTGTATATAGGCACAAGTTCATTACTGATGTCCATATTTCCTTAATTCTTTCACTGGTGAGGATGAACAGGATGGATCGATTGCAACAGCAGTAAATATTGGATCAGAAAAATGTATCCTTTGAATTGTCGGTGACCCAAAGGTGTTTTGGGAGGAAGGCAGCTTCCATGGTGAGTTTCCCATCCTTCCTTGTCCGTGTTGATACTCCTTGTTTCTTTAGGGCCACCTTTTAAGTTTGGTAATCCATTTTTCTTTTCATAACCTTGCTCCTAATGAAAGTCCGAGGTCCATCTGCTCTCTGCCCTGTGCGTACAGCTGAGACTGATCCACTCATTCTCTTTACTCTATTCCTTCTTTCCCTCTTCCACACTCTCTGAAGCTTCACAGAACATCCTTATTAATAGGGATAATTCTCCCAGAACATCAGCTTAACGTTAACTGGTGTACGGAGAGGTAAATCATGTCAGGAATTATTAAAAATGTAACAGAAAGAAAACTACTGTGAAACTCATAAGGCCGTGGTGCAGCTGAACTTTAATGGTGAACAGGGACCAGGTATCCCATATTTTTCTCAACACAATAATTTGGGATATTCCTTGAGCTCACCAGCTGGCAGGTTTAAGATGGAAGCAGGTTTTACCACATAATTAAAAGTGAAGCCTAAATTATTCTTGTCTCTACATTACTGATGGTTAGGAGGAGGAAGCAGTGAAGGAGACACCCACTTGCTCTTCTAATGCTCCTCCCAAAGCATTTGGCACCAGTCACTGTGGGAGGGAGGACATGAGGCTGTGGGGTTCCCTGGTGTGAGCAGCCTCCTCCGTTCCCATGTCTGCAGCCTTCCCGCGTGGCCAGTGGGATGGGCAGAGCTGCCCTGTTCCCGTCCCAGAGGCCGGGAGCGACTGGGACACCTGGTACCCGCTGGCTGTGGGTCCTTGGCGGGGCGTCAGCTGCCACTGCAGCGGCTGCAGGTGCAGACACACACCCCTGCACGTCTGTCATACACCCAGCTGGAGTCAGTCCACGGGAGGAGGCTGTACCGTGCGTGTTCTTTCCCTTCCTCTTAAGTTTGTTGAGGTTTTACAAATTTTTTCACAGCTCAGTCTTAAGATCCTGTAGGCAACTTGATTTCTGTAGGAAAAAATCCTTTTCTAGGGAGTGTGCATTTACGCTACATGACTTTTCGATTTGAAAAAACAAGCCGAGACTCCTTTTTCTTTCTCCATTCTTCATTCCCAAATTCCTTACCTGCTTGGTGAGGAAGCAGAAGGTGAAGGTAGAACAAACCAGCCCCTGAGCTGCAGCCAGAGCAGTTCAGAGCTCTGAGATATGGCTGCGGAGCGGAAGCTGCGCGGCTTCAGCCTGAGCGTTGTCAGCCCTTAACGCAGCGCTAGCGCTGTTCCGGAACACTAACGTGGAGGACGTCTTGAATGCCAGGAAGCTAGAACGGGAGCTGCTGCGAGATGAGTTCCAGAAGAAGAAGGAGCAAGATAAACTCCAGCGAGAGAAGGATAAGCTAGCCAAGCAGGAGCGGAAGGAGAAGGAGAAGAAAAGGACACAAAAAGGCGAGCGGAAGCGATAGCCAGGGTTTTCTAGTTGGACTCTCAAGGGATAAAATTAATTATGAATATGGTGTGTGTTTAAAAAGCAGCAGAAATTCTGGGCACGTGGCTGGCAAGTGGTTCTTTGGAAGCGTTCTTGGTTTGTTTGTTGGGTTTTTCTTGGTTTTTCTTACATAGCAGAAGAGAAATTTCAAGCACCTCTTAAACTCAAAGTGTGCCATGTGCTTGTGGTGTCAGATGTCCCAGTCAGTTATTGTGGCCAATGTCTGTACCAAAGAACGGTGAAGTAATTATGTCCGTGTTTTTAAACTGATCAAGTTTTACTCCTAACCACTTCAAGCAAAGCAAAACAAGCTGTAGGAGAGGGCTTCCAAGCTGGCTGCGTCCTCCTGCCGGCCTTGATTTGCAGCAACAGCGTGTTAGGATTTGTGAACAGAGCAGAGCCCCTTCCTGGCATGTAATTAAGGACCTGCTGCTACAGGGCGAATGTGAATTTATTTAACACTAGCCTTGAAAAATGTATTTGCAAATACATGTATTTATGCTGCCAAGAACAATGCCAGGTCTTTGTTCTGGCTGAGCTGAGAGCGCAGAGATTGGAGCTGACCTCAGTGAGGGCAAGTGATGTTCTGCAGCAAGAGAAAGGGAACGGTATGAAATATAGATGAGCTGCAGCTACGAGACTGCACCACCTGCAGGCTCTGGGCGAGGTAACTCCGCGCTGATTTGAACATCAGCCACAGCGGTAGCAAATTGGTTGAGTCCTTACGCTATTTTAAGACTTTGTGCTGATACTGGAAAATGGTGCTCCCCGATGTTTCGTGTGGGTGAACATGGACTGTTATTTCTGCGGCGGCTGTAAGGGAGCTCCATGCGCTGCAGTTAGAAGCCGGTTGCTCCCCCGGGGCAGAGCTGCGATCCGGAGCCGCCTTCCAAGGGCTCATTACCGGCTCATTTCCAGCCTTTTTCGTGGCCGTGTCACCGCCTCTGGAGAGGGGAACACTAATTCCTGTGAAGTGAGCGTGAGGAGGAGCTGCAGCGCTTCCGGGGGCTCGGGAGGAACCGGCGTGCCTCATCCCTGCGCTGCTCCGCGCTGCCGAGGTTGCTCCCGGCTGCTGGACGCGCCGGCCCCCAGCGCCTGCTTTCGGCACGTCTCGGTAAAGGGCGGTGCCTCCTGTTTAACCACCTGCTGCAAGCGTGAGTATAACTGCTTTATCTTCGGACTTGAATAATAAAACTGGTTGGCCAAGAAGCAGGTTCCTCTCTTGTGAATGTCGTGGGTAGGACCTGCTCCCCTCATGCCTGCCCTGTCTGCTCCCCATCCCCTTGCCCGGCAGCAGCGTTTCTGAGGGCTGACCCTGCTGCTGTGGTGCTGGTCCTTGTTCACTCGCCTCGAGTCCCACAGCACTCCTCCACAGTGCCTTGGAGGAAATTAATCCCAGAATTAATCAGGTTGGAAAAGCCCTTGCAGCTCCTCCAGCCCAACCATGAACCTCCCCCTGACCGTTCCCAACTCCCCCAGATCCCTCAGCGCTGGGTCAGCCCGACTCTTCCAACCCCCCCCCGGGATGGGGACTCCCCCCCTGCCCTGGGCAGCCCATTCCAACGCCCAACAGCCCCTTCTGCACAGAAATCCTTCCTCAGAGCCAGCCTGACCCTGCCCTGGGCAGCTTGAGGCCATTCCCTCGGGGCCTGGCGCTGGGGCCTTGGCTCCAGAGACTCATCCCCCCTCTCTGCCCCCTCCTGGCAGGGAGTTGCCGAGGGCCAGGAGGTCTCCCCTCAGCCTCCAGAATAAACCCCTCCAGTTTCCTCAAACTACTCCTCTTTTTTTTTTTTTTTTTTTTAAATTTTAAAAATTTTAAATAATTTCTAATCTTCCAGGAGAAATTCTCAATCCATTTAACTCAAGATTTTTACACCAACTGAGAAGCCACATAAGTATCATTGAGGCAACATGTCCTGACTTACACTGCGATTGGGTGTGCTGTGTTCTGGGTTCCCTGCTCCATATCCCACAGCTGTGCTGGGTTACTCAAAGAGAAGATCTTTATCCTTCTCTTCTGCTGAGAGACTGGCTGGTTCATGTTCCCCCCAAAGCACTCCCCAGCTCCCATTCTTTCTCAGAGCTCTGCTTGTGCTGTGCTGTGGAGGAGCCTGGCAGTGGCACTGTGTTTCAGGGTAGCTCAGGCACCTGTGGGTGTGCAGGGCAGGGAGGTGGTGGCAGCTGCTGCGGGAGGGGGGTGTCACAGCCCCTGCCCCACGGGCTGGCTCTCACCTCCTGCCACCTGGAGCCATTTGGCAACCCCTGGGGGGGTGAGGCCCAAACCAGCTGCAGGTGGGTTGGAGGAAGGTGCAGCCCATCCAGGGCAATCCAGTGCTGCTCTGTGTGCCACTGTTGCTCTGGTAGCAGTGGCTGTGGGTTTGCCCGTGTCCTTGAGCTGGGCACTGAGAACTCTGCGACCTGGTGCTGAACTCCTACCACCCCCCCTACCCCCCCTGCTTCCAGCGGAAAGCATGGCAGGGCCGGAGCTGCAGGGCTGCCAGCACAGCCGAGCCCTGTACAGCTGCTGGAGCCCTTTCACAGAATCATTCAGGTTGGAAAAGCCCCTCGGGATCATCGAGTCCAACCCTTAGCCTGACTCTACAAGTTCTCCCCTACCCCACATTCCCCCACAGCTCATCCCAACGGCCCTTAAACCCCCCCAGGGATGGGGACTCCCCCCTCCCTGGGCAGCCTGTTCCACTCTCTGACCACTCTTGCTGGGAAACATTTTCTCCTTCTGCCCAGCCTGACCCCCCCCTGTTGCAGTTTCCAGCCGTTCCCTCTTGTTCTGTCCCTGATCCCCTGGGAGCAGAGCCCAGCCCCAGCCTCTCTGCAGTGTCCTGTCAGGAGCTGTAGGGTGATGAGGTCTCCCCTCAGCCTCCTCCTCCTCACCCTGAACACTCCCAGCTCCTTCAGTCGCTCCTTTGGCTGTAAAGGTGCACAGAAAAGAGCTGCCTTCACCTCCTCAGACAAGATCTGAAGCCCCTCTGCCCACTACTGCGCTCAGGAGCCAATCAAAGAACAAAAGGCTATGCCCTGTGTGCCCTTCTGTAGCAGTTTGTGTGGATTTAAACGCAGGGTGGGAGCTGCCCCTCGCCTCGTGGGCGCCGTTTGTTCACAGCCCGTGCGCACAGCCCAGCCCGGGGTGGGGGGTTTGGGCCTGGCCAGCCAAGCCCTCACTCCTGCCGTTCAGAAAGGCCCTTTGGGGCCGGGGCAGCACCAGCCCCCGCCTCTGCAGCCACCCCGGGGCAGGGCAGGAGAGCCACAACCACCCCGCGGACCCAGGGGGTTCAGCTGCTCTCTGGCCATGAGCCCCCCGGGCCCGGCTGGTGCTGGGGATAGGCAGGGTCCTGGCATCAACAGTGAGGGACGATGGAGCAGGGACCGGCCAGACCCCCCGAGCTCCCCTGCAGATACCAGAACCGTTGTGTAACCTTCCTCTGGCAGCACGGTGCCCGTAACCACAGGGAGAATAACACCATGTCAGCTTCACTGCACCGATAAAATTTTCCCCTGGGTTTGTCAAATGTTACCATTATTTCTCCCTATAAGAGAGTAATTTCAGTATCACCCCTGCCTGGTACCTCTCAACTCTTCAACAACCAACTGGAAATTACAATCCCCGTTACTGGATTAAGTTCTAGGAGCTGAGGTTATGAAGACAAGCACAGAACAAGTGCTCAACAAAAGCCGATTTATTTTTTACCAGACAGACTGAAGTCTGTACAGTATTGCTCTTAACATCAACGTATCCTGGGTTAAACGTCACAAAGTTCACTGCAGTGACTTGTGCTACGAAGATGTGCTTTGTTCTCCTGCCTGTAACCTGGCAGAGCTCTTGGTCATTGCAGGGATCAAAGCAGCTACTCAGCTTCCTGCTGCATTCTCATTCGGCTTCGCTCCCACATCATCTAAACAATTTACGTGGTGTGATCACACCTTTTGCCTATCAGGATTTCCAGAAGTAGGAGGAGACATTTAAAATATCAGGGTATCCAGGCAAGGACAGCGGAATGAATTTAATCCACACATTATAAACGCGATGCTAGAAGTGTTAAAACCCTGTATCTCCTGAGCCACATAATACCAACATTTCACATCCATGAATAAGTTACTTCTATTCCTTACAGATTAAGATATGCAGATGAACACCAAGTATTAATAGCTGTCAAAAATGCAGAGGTAAACCAATAAATCTAAAATATGACAACCAAATCTCAACCCAAACTAGTGAAAGAGTAACCTAAATTGCAGAACTCTGTGATACCTCTTCCAATTTTAAAGTTAAGGTGTGAAAACCAATGCTCATTATTTCAGCTGCTGCACAATCCTGTGCGTGGTTCATATTTTCATTATGTTTAAATACTTTAAAACAAAGGTTCTTTCCTTTTTTTTTTCCCCCCCAAGAGCATGCACAAATGATTTGAACACATTTACTAAGTTGCATGGTTTCACAGCAGCAATTTTGTCATACCAGTAATTTAGTAGAACCTGGTGCAATCTCCTTTCACAAACTTACATTTTAAAATCTCAAATTAATAAATACTTACATTTCAAATATTTAATTTTACATGAATATTGGGTATTCTTAGTATTTTTTCTTCCTGTTTCCAGGTTTTAGTTCCATAAGAAAGTATTTTTACATCACAATCACAATCTTATCTGATACTGGCTGGACACTCCATTAAACTACAGTCTTCAAGAATCATTATTTTAAAACTTAAAAGCAAATCTAAAAGAAATTATCAGAGGAGTTGTACACCAGGGTTCACCTGCAGAAGTTAAATAACATCTTGGCTGTTAAAAAATAATCAGACTAAGTAATTAGCATTCACCAGTTTGGCTTTACAATATTCTAGTGCTGTCTGTCATGTTAACAGTTTAAGAAAAACCCGAGAGCCCTTAAAGCAAATTCAACTTCTTGTCGAAATACAGCTTTAAATAAGAATATTAGTAGTTCAAACTTGACAAATAATTTAAAAGAATTAGTGTATCACCTCTCACACATGCACACAGTGGAGTGTATTTCTGTGTGCAACTGGTATTCATTAGTACTTGCTCACTTCAGCCCTCGGGTTTAGGAGGCTGCAGCTGTTTGTATTTTCACACACTTTTTCTTCAGGCTGCACCGTCTCCTGACAAGCTTTCTCTGGATCCAAATTTCCAGCTAGCCACTTTGGTAAGGTCATCTGGAGAGCGCACCAGAGAGTTGTACGTGCTTTACGTGTTGTTACGCTCATCTCTTTAATTGCCAAAGCAAGAGCAAACACATCTGCAGGGAAGAAATGGCATTTTAATCTTAATTACAGGGCATCAGCAAGCACAGTTGGGGATTAATTCACCCTGGCAATGCTAAAACCAGGAAAACTTTTTAGATCCTTTTTAGTGCCTGATTTTGCGTCTTGTGTCTCTTTGTAAGGTTGGAAAAGCTGAATCTAAGTAGTGATTTTTAGGCCCTCGTACAAAGAGGCAGGTATGTGGAGTTCAGGTACTTATTTTGTTGAAGCTCCTACTGAGCTGTCACCTGTTTCCAGGAGCATCTAAAGCCTTACGCTCACCTCTGGGTTTGAAAGAATTCCACATACACACACATACTACAGGCATCTCGCCCCTTCCTGTGCGAGCTCATTACTGAATGTTCACAGCAACCCCTGAACATCCACAAAGTGGATCCTTTGACAATCTTGCATAAGAAGTTAGTAAAACAGGTGAAGGAATAGATTGTTTATGGCATTTGATGAAAGCATACAGGTCATGTTCTGCAAACGGGTCAAACCCCACCGCTTTATTGTAAAGGGTAAGGTGGTGCTGTGGCCTATTTATTCAACAGCAACAACTGAATGCATAGATTTAACTCCAGACTGTGTGTGGAGAAACAAATTCAATCCCCTCTCCTAGGCCCTGGAGCTTTCAGCCAGAACTTCCACGTTCTTCTGGGGCAGGTTCCCACGGGGCTGTACACTGGGCTGCACTGAGAGCACATACGCACTTGCCTCCCTGGTCAAATGCTTCCGTGGGGTCTGGAAGCACCGGAAGACTAAGTCAAAGTCTGCTCTTCCAAGGGCCTGTGCTCAGTAAAGCACAACTGCAGTTTAATTTTATTGCAAAAAGCTGGCACCTACATTCAAACAATATCCTTGGAGTCGCTGTTCCAGGTGAAAGCACGCCCTCCTGGTGGGTCTGGGGGTGCCTCAGAAAAGGGCAGA